CAACGAAAAGACTCTGAGCAACAACGAAAAGACTCTGAGCAACAACGAAAAGACTCTGAGCAACAACGAAAAGAGCTTGTGCAATTGCTCAGACAGCAGAGTGATCAAATCAAGCAGCAAAATGAACAACTCAGACACCAAAATGAACAGATCACAGAGCTTCTGCTGAAGCAGTGATGCGTCTCAAGTCTTTCCAGTCGTCACATCTTCTACTGTTCAACATGGCACCAAGGATTCCCGCCGCCTCCGATGGTCAAATTTCTACTACCACGGCATGCTTCTGATCTGGTCAAAATGAGAAGTATCAGTCCAGAGTCAAATCCACGACCACCTCGCCTCAGCTTAAAATATCAGTTGACCGACGGGAGGACGGCGAGGGTCTCGAAAGGAAGAACAATGCCACCACACATCCGCAATTCGGCGCGTAGAGGTATCTGTTGCTCGGGACGCGACCAATTATCGCTTTTACCCTGGCCACCTGAAGTTAGTCTTCTTGGTTCGGCTGCAAGGGCGTAATCAGGCAACCTTTGCACCGTCTCCTCGGATGTCTCAAAGTGACCCCTGTTCTTCGCATTAGGGCTCGAAGGCGCAGCTGGATTGGATACAGTGGACTCCAGAGCCTGACAGGCACATAGCCTCTTGGTCATAATTACACCGAGGTGTGATGGCATCTTCGTGCCGCAGCATGCGTCATTGGGGCTGCTGGTCTACGGATATGTCAGGTACCACACGCTCAGGAGTCGACAATCCCCGGAAGCGAACCGCAAAGGCGCCTGACCAGGCTCGTGTAGTAGCTGTGAACCTACTAATTCTAGGGGTATAAGAATGCGCTCTAGCCCTGCTTTAACCTTCGTCCCTCTTTATATGTCTAACTCCTTACTCACACCGCCGTTCTCCAACAAGCGCAAGATGCAGCCTATTGTCGACATCAATCACTTCCTCAACGACGCTGATTTTGAAATTCAGGACGAATACGATTCGGTTATAGATGGTGCTTTGGACATGAGGAGGAAGTTCTCCTCACTGTTGATGCAGGCACGGCAATTGAAGACGATATTACTCGCTAAACAGGCTGAACTGGATCGTTGTATCGCTCAGCGTGGACGACAGCGACCAGGCGTTCCGAGTATTGCCGAAAGTACTCGGAAAAAGCTTCGACAGCAAACTCGCAAGTTGCGGCAGTGTATGAACGAGAACAGGCTGCTGCGCATTCAGAATCAAAAAAAGAGCAATGATTTGGAAGCTGCGCACAAGGAATTGGAAAAGATTGATCACTTACGGTGCACTATCTGTATGGTGGCTTTTAAAAATACCACGATTCCATGCGGTCACAGTGCCTGCAGGGAATGTTTGGAATTCTGGGTTGGACAAGGCAAAGGCTGTCCT